TTAGATGTTGCTGATTGTACTTTATTATTTCCAACATCACTACTTAATGATAATTACCTACCATATTAATGCCAACAAAAGCTCGGAATGTTGTTATGAATCAGTTTTTTGAAAGGACAGAATAAACCAGTCTTTTGTTTACATTTAAGTAAAAAATGTTTACTTAAATGTAAACAAAATGTGAGCTGCCGCTTACACAAACATGCCATTTGCAGGCCATGTCTAATTAGCAAAGAAAGGTTTCGCACTGCTGAATTAATAACGTAAAGTTGGTAAAAAATCATTTGCTTTTATTTTTTTTCTTACATATTTTTAACATGAAGTTTGTTTAAATTGCAAGCATCAAATCTACTCTGGTTATCAATTTCCCTGTCAAGTCACTCACATATTACGTATAGTCGTAGGTGAACATCGTAATTAATATAATAATAATAATAACGCACACACTCAACATAGCCCCGCACCAGGGAAGCCCTGTGTCGCGGGTGCCATGGACACACACGTAGACAATCACAAATCACACCCAAACTCACGAGAGAAATAACTGTAGGCCATACAATATTTCTCCCGGCCCGGGAATCGAACCTGGGACCTCTGCGTGGCAGTCCGGCATGGTATCCGTTCGGCCACGGAGGCAGTTAACTACTTCCTCCATGGGCAAGGTGGCAACACTACTTATTCGTCCCCTTTTTTATTAATGGTTTTGGCTAGATACAAGTCCTTTGAGCCATGGCTTCGTTTAATTATCGGATACTCGGTAATATTGTCCATTGTAGTTCTAATAGATTGTTTTTAATTTCTCTTAAATAACTTAGTTCACTTATTCGGTTTTTTACATAGTCTTTTAATTTGTAGTTCATACGTAATTTTGAAATTTCAATACAGGCAATACAAAGTACACAACAACGAGAATATTTATTTTTTGTAAGTATTAGCAGGCACTTGTGTTTTTGGCTAGTTAAGTAGCCAACGGTAACAAGTTTGTTTATATCATTTCTCGAGCTAATAGAATACGACACGGGTGTAGTACACCATGGTATACGGATAATATGCTATTTAATAGACTTAATCATTTCAACTCATGCATGGCACATACTTCCAATATGCAGATATTATATTTATATGCCTTAGTGAAATGGATTGTATTGATTTGAAATCGTGATACATACGTCCACTTCTTTCTTTTTTTTAACAAAATTGAGTCGGAGGTGATAACCTCGACAACATTTCGAAATATTATTAATTCTACTCACGTTCGTTATCCTCGTCGCCATTTGTGGCGTTTACGCTACTTAGTATAGGGATAGCTCAACGAAAAAACACGTGTTTACCTCACGTGAACATGCGATACGTCCGCTCACACCACTGTTTAGTGTCGTAGTGCGGGAATGGCGAGCCGCAGTGTAACTTATATTGTCTAATGTCTATGGCACAATTATGTGCGTACACTACAACACTACACACAAAATCGGAAAAAGAAATTCACTACACCCAGTCTAGCCAAGGGTGGAATTACATTTTTCATAATGTACATGATTAACCAGTACGTAATACATATCGTCGTTGGAAAGCGATAATGCTGTAACCCGCAATACCTGCGCAAATGCTTTTTTTGCATATTCTTGTTTTTTTCTGCTTCGATTGGTCTGGGTCTCATGTCTCTAAAATGAAAAATAAACTCTGGACAGCATAATTTTTAACGCTTTTTTCTGATTAAGGAATTTTAAAACGAGTTAACCCACATAAAATCTTGTGTTTTTTGCGAAATGTGCGTTACATCAAGAACACGTAATTAAATTTTTCTGTGACTCTGATTACAGCATTTTTGCGTTCCCTAATATTAAAATTGTACCACTTACAGCGTTTACTTGTGACATTTGCAGCATTTACTTGTGTTGTTAAGTATGAACAATGTGATTTACAGCGTTTTAAAGGTCCGAGTTTTTACAGTGCAATGAGTGTTGCGATATTTAAAAACAAATATAAACAAGTACAGAATTTCTCCCCGCGTCATTTTATCCTTCCCTCGATTCATGACACCGCGACTTACAGTAATCTTTAGAGACTACGCATCAGGCCCTGCCGACATTGGCTGAGCCGCTGGGAATACCTACATGGGGCAATATCAAAACGAGATAGCGAATGAAAATCGAAGCGAGATAGCGAACAGTGTTACTAGGTAGAAAGTATATTCAATCTCACCTACATAAATTCTGACATGTTTTTTATTTTATTACATTTCAAATACAAAAGTTATTTCTTTTGATAATTTAATATATTTTATAAATTTACCATAAAGTACAAGGTAATTTATTTAATAAATTTGATATATTTTATAAATTTATCGTGAAGGATCTGTTTAATCATTATAATCGGTCAATTTGGCAACACTGATGAACTTTTACTAGAGATGTACGATTTTACACTTTGAATCGATTGTTGTCGTATATTTTAATTATTTCGTATAGAACATATAGAACCATAATAATATATGAACATAATATATCATAATAATATATACTGATATTTAGTAACCCCGTACCTTATATAGAGTACGAGATAGAACTTTATTTAATTGGTAATGGCGTGATAATTAGTAAAATACCACATGTTAAACAATTTCCATCTCGTTTTGCTCAAGTATCGAGTGACGCGCGTAAAAACGAGGCAAAACATAATCAAATCATAAATCATGGATTAAGTATTATAGACACACCAAACTGAAAATGAATTAATTAGATATTTATGTAATTATATTAAAATGGATTATAATGTCAGAATGGAAACGAATAACAAGACGAAAATATCTATTTAAAAAATTCATCATTACATAATATGTAAATTAATAAAAAACTAACCAGAATGTTACCGAATAAGTTGTATGAATGTATTAATACATATTATTTTGCTGTTGATGTACCTTGTGATAATACATAAATAAATTGTTTATTTATTAAACTGAAAACTGCCAACTGATATTTTATAGTAAACACATCTACACTTACCACATTGTCACAGACCATGGTCAAGGGCAATCCTAAAAAAAAAACAAAAACTCTTGCTTGACGCTATAACGAGCGAGATCAAAGCTAAACGAAATATATTGTGCAACTAATAGCAACTTCGCCAGGAGCTTTCCATTAATTCAAAAAACTATAGATAAATATCATTGGTCAACATTCAATATTATTTGCCTGTAGGTCATTCCCAATAGATAGGTATAAACTATCGCGTCAATCCACAATACTACGGTACTAACACTGTGAAGAAAAATAAAATAAAGGAAAACACTATTGTCATCATAGTAGATTACGAACCTATTGCTATTAATAGTGTCTTCTGTGCAACGTATACTTTCTGTGAATGTTCTTGTCTATAATACAGCGTAAGTAATATAGTCGTTATTCATTGTACACTTGGATGTTGCCAAACTACTTTTCTCGCAGATCAATATAAAATCGGATTAGACTTACTATATAGTGGTTCGGAAAGATACTATTTTGTTTAAATTATAAATACAATCCAGACGTTTCGATTCGCCTTAATGTTGAATCGATTTGCTTAAAAATAGCATGAATCGATACAAAAAATAGCTATGTCGTATACACATGAATCGATTTTCATAAAAATTTAATCGTTATGTGCATCCCTATTTTTTTTCCACAAGATGGCCGTCGTCGCTTGCGCACGTTGTTGTTTGTCTTGTAAATTCTCTATTTTATAAACTTATTCTCGGTTTCCCGTTGCGTAACGTTGAGTTGAGCTTCTTGCTCCTCCGTTTGTGTTTCGGTGAGCCCAGTGTCGTGAACTGTGAGACGGGACTCCATTATTAAGATAGTGACTCTTTTCTTTCTTACAATATGAAAGAAAACGCAAGGAAGTGTTTAAAATGTGACGTTTCTCCTAGAGAAAATAGTAACACTATTTTGCACCGCTTTCCGAAGCCTGGAAGAACAAATAGCCTTAAGTAAGTACTATAGAATGTGATTAAAATGTTCAAGGAAGGTCGCACTGGGTGCCGGTTATTTTGCGGAAATTACATGACACTGTTCTCAATTTCAGATGTGAATTGTGGGCTAAGTATTGTTTTCCACAAAGCCTATGGTATTCACCAGAGTTCCAGACCAAGCTGTACTCTGAACACAGAATGTGCACGAAACATTTCAATAAGAAATATTTTATGATATTGTAGGTGAAAAAATGGTTAAATCTGCATTTCCATATGAAGAATGTGATAAGGTTAGTAAATTATCACCACAAATAATGGTCAAGGTGTTTTTAAATTAGTAATATTATACGAACCCATTGTGTATTCCAATTTTGAAGCTAGTTTGATACAAAGTTATATAATAATTTTATAACTTGATGCATTTTTCAGATTATCGAAGTTCTGGGTGGAGCAACAAATACTGCATGGAACATTGACTTACAAATAAATGGACGACGGGTCTAATACAAAAACCACGAAAAAAATGCCCCAAGTCAACCTATTCGAAATTTAAATTGTAATGTCATCGCAGTATCGCGCTGTCAGTCGAACAAATGAAGACTAAAGCGGAGTTTGGCGCTCCGTATACGATTTTAGCGCCTTACAAGTGCGGACACTTTTTAGCGCGGACCCGATGTCCATATAATTGTAAGTCAATGGCATGGAACTAGATCAGGTCCATCCAAACCTCTATTGGAAAATTTAAACCTGATCAATGTTGACCAGGCAATAGCCAGAACACAAAATGACAACAAAGAGAGTGAAGTTGAAGTAAATCAAGAAAACCCAAACAATAAAAGGACGAAAGTTTTGAAGAAGTATAAAAATAATTTGACAAAAGTCTATAGATAACAAAAAAAAAAAAAAATTAAAAACATGAAAAACAAATCTTTCATGAAAGAAATTGTAAATAATGAGTCCTTTAATAGAATTTTGAATGCCAAAATTTCACCCACAATGGCATTATTTTTACAAGGAGAAATAAAAAATTATAAAAAAGATGCAAAGGCCCGGAGATGGGAAACGGACTCGAAAATTATAGCTTTGAGACTATACAAGCGCTCACCAACATGTTACAGACTGCTAAGGAGGATGATTAGCCTACCTGCACCCAGTACATTACAATGTTTATTGAATAAATTTAAGATGGGTGTCGGTATAAATAGACAAATATTTGACATTTTAAAACAGAAAAGTATACAAAATGAGAAGAGATCTGATAACGAATATGTGTTGATGTGGGATGAAATGTCAATAAAGAAAAATCTGCATTACAATGCAAAACTAGATTTGATACAAGGCTATCAAGACCATGCCGCTCATGGGAGATGTCCTGCAATTGCATCATATGCTCTAGTGTTTATGATCGCAGGGGTTAGAAAAATGGTTAAGCAGCCAATAGCATTCCACCTCTCTGCGGGGTCTGTGACAGCAAACAGACTGGTGGTGCTCATAAAGGAGGTAAACATTATTCATTCAAATACTTATAATTCATCTTGATAATTTTATAAGCCTATAATATTATGTTTCCACTGTTTGGGTTTAACTTGTGATTGCGTTTAATTAAATCTACTATGCAAAACCGACGCGGATTGGTGTATTTGCACTTGTCTTTCCAATTTTTAATAGTATTTCTCAGATGCCAGGTCCCTTTTAATGTTGTTCTCCATCATTTCCATGTTAGTATAGGCACGCAAGATTTATTTTGATCTGAAATGTTTCAGAAACTTGTTTCTAAAGCATGATATTGAATGTCAAAGAAATATAACATCGGATGGCAAAACTGGAATTGGTAAGCAGTTTTATTGTATTTCACATTTTATTTACTTATTTTTTTTTTTGTTAAACTTTATTGACCACAACACATAATGGTACAAAAGCCAGACTTAATGCTAAAAGCATTCTCTCCCAGTCAACCATTTGTTATGATACTATCTGAATTCTGGTAGTTTCACTTTGTGCGGAACCCGTACAATGAAAAATCCGTTAAAACTTGCTTGTACATACAAAAAATCGCTGATACCCTATTTCTATATCTATGTCTATATATACCTATGTCTATTTATTTCTTTCATTGAATATTTTTGTAAAGTTTCTCATTGATAAGTGCTTAAAAATTTTAATGCATACATAAAACTTCCTTATTTACCTCTCATTTGACCATGTTTATATTTCAGGAATTGCAAAATGGGCCCACATAAAAAACTTTTATGACTTGGATAGTACTAATCCAAACTTTGTCTTTGCACCGTGTCCAAGACATGAGCATTTGGACCCTAACTGTAAAGAAAAATGAAAGTTAAACTCGCAGCACAAGTATGGAGTCACTCTGTTGCTGCTGGAATGTACGCAAAAATATCACAAGGTATGGGAGTAACTTTCACTTTATTTTTATTTTTTTAATATGGTATTGTGTAAATACGCGCCTTTTACCAATGCTTCTTACGCGGCTTTGCACTATCCCTGACGATAAGTCATTAAATCATCAATTACGATTCTTTGTTTTTTATACTACAAACTGCCTTCAATCAATTTCAGGAGAACTGCCTGCCGACGCTGCTGTTACAGCCAATGTAATATCCGATATGGATAAACTATTCGATTGTGTAAATGCATTCACACCCGACCTAAGGAGTGGCAAACCACTTTCAACTAATTTAAAAAACAACACACAGCACCTTGTGCACTTTCAAAAAATGAAAGATTTTTTCAATAATTTAAAGTTTGTGGGGAGCAAAAGAGCACCGCCATCGCAAGAGGGATGGATCTGGACTTTAAATGGACTGGAGCGAGTTTGGAAAAATTTATCAAAAAAACATAAAAATATGAAAAGTCTCGCAACAAGACGATTCCAACAGGACCCGCTCGAAAATTTGTTCGGGGAGGTTTTTCACACATTGTATGTGCTACGGTCATTGTAAAAGGGGGCATTCATTATCCTGCATTGCGGGCTACCTTGCTGTCCTGCGAGACTACATACATGGGCCATACGCAGGATAGTGTGTGAGCAGTCTCCTGCCTGCGCGGCGGACTGCCATGCAGGTAGTGAATCGGCCGTTTAACATTGGCTGTAGCGTATTGACATTTCTTATTCATTGTCATTGACAGTGACATTTTTATTACATTATGTTAATTATATCCTACTGTCTGCTAAATCGGAGAAATTGTGATTATTTATGAATGTTTAACGTTATTAATTTAATATCAAATCACATAAAGTGCATGTGTTCCAAAATTGAGGAATTCGTATTTTCTATGTAACTAGTTGAAAGTTGCTCTTCTGTAATATTGTCCTTCCTAGATTTGTACGTAGGTGCCTTCGAATTCAGTTTTGCAATCAATGAAAGTACCCATTGTCTAGTCTGTATAATATTTGTTTTTACCCAATCGTTCAGTTGATATTCAGTAATTTTTTGGCCGTGTCACTTTTAAATTGTGCTGTCAAATTTTTCTGGCTTGCCGATTTCCTCAAACAATATACTTCCTTGTCAATACACTTAGATTATTAATTTATCGTTTGAATAAGTTTAAATATCAATTATTTAATCTCAACTTAGATCGCAGGTAATAAGTATCAACACAGGACGTATTTAGATGCAGATAGGTATTTATACCAGTATTTATTAACTACACAAAATTGCGTTAATTTCGCAAATGTCAGCAAAATCTCAGAAATGCTGATATTTAAGGATTTTTAAGATTGCTCACATAATCTCAAATAACATTGAGTGCACGTAATCCAAATTTGTGTAATGTGTCTCTCATATATAAACAGTTAAATATCAAAAATACACTGCTCTGCTGGTAAAATTGTAATTTGCTAATTATTATAGTTATTGCAATCAAGGAAAAGTAATCGTTATCAAAATTGCAATATTCTTTGTAACTCAATTGAAAAATTTAACTTTAGTTTTTCCCTTGTCACTTTTAAATTATGCTGTCTAATTTTTTTGGCTTGCCGATTTCCTCTGGCAATATACCTCCTTACCACACCTTACACCTGTATTATTAAGTTAGCTTACACAATTGATTTAGTAGGTTTGATTATTTTGATGGAATATGTTAATAAAAACCACGTTTTGTATAAATGTCTTTATTTTCTATATTTGACCTTTATTTCCTCTGTTTCTGTTTTAGAAACATTATAATAAAGATCAAATAAGGAAACGCATACACTACATATATTTTAAATATATGTAGTGTATGTACGTTTCCCTATTTCATCTTTATATTTTAAAGCTAGCTATAATAATTTGAAAAGCCCGCGCTAGGTGGTTCGAATTTGTTTGAAAATTCCCGCCTTTATGACAATGTGTACTATCGCGCCACCTAGTATTCACCCCGATACTATCAAGTGTTTACAATTACGGTTCCGTATTTTTTGTATGAAGTCGGTTTTCTTCTCCTTGTGAGTATAGTGTTCTGTGCTACGCATGCAGCAGTGAGGGTACTTGTGTGTGTTGTTCGAGGTTTTTTATAGTAAAATCGAAAGTATTTTTTCAATTATTATTGAAAATATTATTTCTTTTTCCTTATTTTATTTTAGTACTTATTATATTTAATCTCATGTATTTATTCAGACCATAAGAGTCTGAAATTAATTAACTAGTAGAACTCGTAAATTCGATGCATTTAAATTATGGTGAAAATTACTCAAATCACCATGATCACAGTGATTTTATTCGACTGGGAAAAACTACAACGTTCAAAGTTATTGTAATATGTAGGTATGTTAATATGTTTAGGTGACTATTATTCACTAAGTCACTAAAACGTATTTAGACACAATATTGCAAACAAGCCATTTTCTGGCTACATACTCGTACATATGTACGCTCGCCGTTCTCCCATCGGTGCAGGCAGATAAATGTTTATGTAGTGCGTTTCCGTCTTTTTATGAAGTTTTTTCCCACTTCACAACAGTAACCATAATCATTTATTCAGCAAACTCATGTATCACAAAATTATTAGATAGCATTGTTTCTAGATAGCTTGAACCCTGTCACAGCCAACAGCATAGATTACGTCATAATAGTTACTATCAATAGTCTAAATGACTGTAGGTATGTTAAGTCATGCATACCACAAAGATTAATTAATAATAAAATAGATACACGTATAAAATATATTCTACACATGCTAACGATTATAAAAACACAAATAATGTCACAAAAAAGAAGAAGATGCCTAGGTGAGCTAAAAGAGAACAAAGAAACAATTTTCTGTCGACTAACGCTATTCTATGCTTAACGCGATGCTACTAGTCAAAACAATCTAAGGCTGAAATTTTAAATAACAAATTACTACGGCCATTGTAACCAATGTGCAACAACCTTCCGCCGAGAATAATTTAACCAGATTCAATGCCTCAAACTGCACCAAGAAGCTCCGCGACATGTCACCAAAAGATATGCAATACGCCAAACTCAAAACTAGTGTTTGTTTTAGATATAAAGCTACAGGTTTAGACTCACTTAGAAAAATAGAACGTATACTTCCCGATATGGTGGAAAAAAGATTTTTATACCGTTGTACGCGGATAGGCTCCAAAGCATAGAATCAAATATGAGAAGACCTGAATGTAGAAAATTTAAACGAGTGATCAACGGCCTGCAAAAACTATAATACATGAGGGGGATTTTTGTGCATTTTTATGAGATACGCCCTGGTCAGTTTCCGCAAGAAGTAAAAAATGTTCGAAATTCATATAAACAAGACGGCCGCCATACAAATTTCAAAGCCTCCTATCACGGAAACTATTAGAGATAAGTAGGAAGGGCTGGAAGGAATGTCATAGAGGGTAACACTGGTCAAATGCCTGGGTTAAAAAAATTGAAGATAGCGATTTCAAAATGGCGGCCGAAAAATAACTTGCTTCGATCCGGCTGAAAAATTGGCATGCGGGGGTCTTTAGGAGTTCTTAATCATAATTTGGGGTCAAAAATTTCTTTTCGCCATTTTTTAATGTGGCTGCCATATAAGTGTTTTTTTCGTTAAATACAGCTGCCGAAAGACATTTGCCCTGATTCGACTGAAAATTGGCATGTGACGGCCTCTAGAATTGCGGATAATAATTTGTGCTCAAAATTTGTTTTTCGTCTTTTTCAAATATGGCCGTCATAGAAGCGTTCGTTGGCGGCAGAAAAAAAATTGCTCAGATCCCTTTGAATATTGGCATGGGGTCTCTAGGAGTGTTCGATAATAATTTGTGATCAAAATTTGTTTTTCGCAATTTTTTGAATTTGGCCGCCAAACAAGCGTTTGTAAAAATTAGCTCTAATTCTATTGAAAATAGGTATGTGGGGGTCTCTCTAGGTTTTTGATAATAATTTGCGGTCAAAATTATTTTTTTCAATATGGCTGTCATACAAAATTTAGTGGCAGTAAAATTTGCTCTAATTCGATTGAAAATGGAAATCGATTTATTTTTATAGGCCCATTATGTGTACGGACATGACATGAATGTGTGTTTTATCTATGTATTTGTAAAAATAAGCAAGTGTTGTATACAAAAAAGGTTATTGTAAATTCTCGGACAACACTCAAACGGGGTAATTATCGGACTACTGGACCGCGCACAGCCGAGTGAGAGGCTTCAAAGTAGTAATGCATCTCTTTCTAATAGGGTGTTCATTGATGTTTCAGCCAGCCATATTGTTTTCAAACGTTTTAATTTTTACAGAAAATGTGGCCGCTTATGGATGACCAAACTACTAATATTATTTCATAATACAAATTAGTATCCTTATTTGACATGCTACTTCATAGTAGAAGGTTTCATTGTTGATATATTTTTTTTGTATTGTTACAGTAAAAACATGTTACCTTTAAGCTAATTTTATTTAACCAAAATTTAAAAAAGTTAATAGACTAGACACTACCTAAGATGATGTTATTTAGCGTTGGCAACTTGTTAGACAAGGACAGACCACTACTTCGAGCTATCTCACGTGGCTCAATTTTTTTACTTTTACTTAAAATAAATCTTAAGATAACCCAATAAGGTGTAAGTTTGTAATATTGGTATATCGAAGTGCGCGATTCAGTTTATGAAATATATAAATCCGTGGTAATTACATTGGGTGTTAATTTGAATAGTAGATTCTGACTAAAATCTAACAAATTCCGTAGTTTTAAAAGTGGTTACATAATAATAATAAAATCACAAACGTAATTTAAAAAAAGCAAATGCTTTAAAATAATTTTTATGAAAATGATATGGATAAATATATAAAACACCGAGTATATATTTATCACTGGTTGTTTACTTTTCTCTAAAATAAAAGTATACTTTAAAAAAATCTATGATATGATTAATTACTATTAATCATGTCATGGATTTATATTATATGTATATGTAATATTTTTGAAAACAACACAAAGTAGGTATTTGTTTTTGGAATATCTAATATTATATATATTATATAAATCTAATATTACTATATATATTACTTAGATTAGAAAATTAACAAACGTTTACATTTCATTGCACGCGACACCTACTTATACTATACAATGGTATAAAAATACTTACATTATCTTCAGTGTGTATTGTGCGTTCGCAGCCATACACTGATCCCAAGAAATTTTCCATGGCGGTATATGCAAACCATATAGGTTCATATAAATCTTCCACCCTCATACCCGATATTATAGATTGTTTTTTTCTTACGAAGATACGCACGAAAATTTGACGTTAACTTCTTCGCTTTCAACTCATTGACTGGTAATTTTATAATATTAATAACTGTGAACTTTGTGTTTAATTTTGTGGTTTGGATGTTTTGGGTTTCAAATGAGTTCTTCGGTTTCATACATATAGCTCTAGAAAATATAAAACCCGCGCATTACTCCCATCCATTTTATACCTACGTATTATCGCTTCGGGAGCTAGCAGTTTATCTATATATAAAGTACTCTGTGGTTTATCTGAAGCGGGACGATTATGAAAATGGCAGCCTTTTAAAGTTACAACTACAGTCTTTCCAAAGATTATTAATTTTATTTTAAGTATATTATGAAGAAAAAACGAAAAAAGAAATAGTGATGAAGAAAGTTAGAACTATATTCCTTAACTTAAACCAAATTACAAAAGACTTTATCCTGAAAATTCCACTAGTTACGAATTCAAAGTTTATGTCCGAAGTGATAGAACACAATGATGTGATCTATGTGAAAGTGAAAACATAAATATTGCCTACCGTCGCTTAAAAGACTATGTAAAAAAACCGAATAAGTGAACTAAGTTATTTAAGAGAAATTAAAAACAATCTATTAGAACTACAATGGAAAATATTACCGAGTATCCGATACTTAAACGAAGCCATGGCTCAAAGGACTTGTATCCAGCCAAAACCATTAATAAAAAAGGGGACGGATAAGTAGTGTTGCCACCTTGCCCAAGGAGGAAGTAGTTAACTGCCTCAGTGGCCGAACGGTTACCATGCCGGACTGCCACGCAGAGGTCCCAGGTTCGATTCCCGGGCCGGGAGAAATATTTGTATGGCCTACATTTATTTCTCTCGTGAGTTTGGGTGTAATTTGTGGTTGTCTACGTGTGTGTCCATGGCACCCGCGACACATGGTTTCCCTAGTGCGGGGCTATGTTGAGTGTGTACGTTATAATAATAAAGTTAAACCTAAGTAAAAAAGTTGCTAGATTCCAAGAAATTAATTCTGGGTAAAAGTGCCTAAAGTGGCTGAACAAAAACATAATTACAAGATTGCGTTTTTAAATACATATTTTTCTTAATTTTACAAATTATAAATCGAAAAAATAATTATCATCAATATCATTCAAATCATTATCATCTTGTGATATTGAAGGTTAAGCTTTATTTTCGTTTTTTATCCAATTTTTTACTTTTCTTACTAAAAGAGCTAAAAGATTTAGCTATCAAATATTTTGTTTTGTACCCATTGACTTACAAATAAATGGACGACGGGTCTAATACAAAAACCACGAAAAAAATGTCCCAAGTCAACCCAT